GAGGGGGAGAGAGGGGGGAGAAAGAGATTAAAGAGACAAGGAAGTAAAGTGTTTTAGCATGTTCTAAGGCCACGTACTTATTACAATATTTTATTCTCGAACCGAACAAATGATGCATTGCCAATGGATGGGCCAATGCCAATGACCGACCCTTTCCACTGGGCGCGATCCCCGGCCAGAAGAAGACAATGGCAGATGGCAATGGCGAGGAGGGATTGGCTCGAACAGATCCAAGCCCAGCTCTGAGCCAGCCCCGGGCTGGGCTAACTTATTGCTATCGCACAATCTGTGGCAACTAATAGGAAGTTGGGGCAGGCAGAAAACCCCAGGCCCCAGAGCCACAGTCAGAGCCAGGGCCAGAGCTAGAGCCAGAGCCACAGTCAGAGCCAGAGCTGGGGCTGGCTCTCTTTTTCTGGGCGCATTGTGAAAGCCATGGCCAGCAATTATCTAAGCCTGCCATTGTTTGCCCCTGCAACGAGTGGCATCGCGCTGCCAGCCAGCCTTTGCCTGACTTTGACTAATTTGCAAAAAAGCCACTAAGGAGCCATCGAACAGCCTCCCCATTCGTGGAGGCTCCACCGCCACCACCACCAGCAGCCAGCCACCAGCAGCCAGCCACCAGCCACCATCCACCAGCCACCAGCCACTGCCTGTCATCTGTCATCCAGAGTGGGGCAGAGCAGAGCACAGAGCAGGCCGCAAGGATACGTAAATCTTGACAAGCGGCGGCAATAAATTCTAATGAGCAAATCGCAAAAGGAAGTTCTGGCTTTCCAGCTTCTATATCCAGAGTGTGCTCTCAGGATGTTGTCGGAGGCAGATTTATGTGGCAGGCTTCGGCTTCGGCATCGGCATCGGCATCGGCAGCTGTAAATGCCATTTGTCCAATTAGTCAGCAAACAGAGAGAACTTTGCTGGCCTGCTCGTATGTACGACTGCTGCCCCTAGTGCTATCGGCAGTTCCCTGCATGCAACTTGTTAAATTTAGCGCATTACAATAGATTCATAAATTTTCGCCCCACCAATCTCCACCAAGCCTAATCTCCAGCGATGACATCAGTGCGGGACGGACAGTGCCGACAGATTCGAGAACCCACAAAAGTTAAAAATATAAATAATCATGCGAGTAGTGGTCGTTGTGGCTGGCCAATGGAAACGATATGATACTCAATATATACAGGTATACAGGGTAGGGTGGGGTGTATCTGTTTCACGATAGATACGGGGGGATTATTTTCATGCTGCAGATCCAGATAAAGTCCGTTACTCGCTCACCGAACAGATTTTCTTGATTAGACCTAGAGGGATACCATTAGCCCAAACAGCACAAACTATCTATCCTTAAAGATACGTACATGTATCTTCTACCTGGGGAAAGAAATAACTCCATGCTGGGGAAAACCTGAGAATACAAGTTTTAGAAATTATTAATTGAGTACAATAAAATATGAAATAAAATTAAAACGAATTCAATAATAGATTAGACACCAATTATTTCATATATTTAGACTAGAAATTGTCTTGAAACGTCTTCTTTAAAACTTCCTTCACGGTCCTTCACACGGTCGACCTCGACTTGGTGTCGCTTGGTCCTTAAATCCTTAAATTTACATAGTATCTACCCATTCGACAACGTTGAATTCGATTTTCTAATGTTTTGATTTGAATTTATTTTGTTATTCTTTCTGCCAATTATTTCTGTGTTGACTGTTTCTTCGCGTCATTCAGAACAGAACAGAACCGAATGAGAGATAAGCATATAGGGAGTACGCGTGTTCAATTGAATGGAAATAGAGAACCAACAACAAAGACTACAGGCCACAATTAAACTACAGAAAAAAGTCGAACAGTTCATTCACAAAAAAAAAAAAAAAAACCAAACCAAAAGGTAAAGCCAAAGCCAAAGGCAAAAGCTCATTAAAATAAACAAAATAAATAAAAAGCGAATTCAATTATTTGTAGTAAATAAATTAATCCGTTATACGAGTATTGAGAGCATTGCGTCATTTACATGTGTCATTCACACGATTGAACAATATTAGTATTATTCACAGTCGTTGCTGCATTCAAAGTCAATCAAAATCATTGACTTGTAAGGCTTGACCCGGTGCGAAAACTTTTCCATTAACTTTGAAATTTAATTGTTGGTCAAATATTTGAGCCACGCTCGACACTTTTGACCATCTCCCGGCAGGCATCTCTCTGTCTCTCTGTCTCTCTTCTGGCATTAAATTATTTGCATTACGAATTTGCACAGCAATCTCTTCTGTATATTTCCCCTTTGAAGTTATGCCTGGGTTTTTGAATTCAATTAGCACTGTGGCCATCCATCAGATTTTGCGGTCAACCTGTGGGTCAATCAACTCTGATTGATGTGAAAGCAAAAGTGTATTAGTCACTGAAACGACAACAAGGTTAACAATTTTCAGGCTCTTTGCTAGGTTTTATTTGGCTTGTGAGTGGGCTGACCTTTGATCTCTATTTGTTTGATTTCAAATATAGACTGGAGAAGGAAGAAATATTTTGCTAGATTTTATGAAACTAATAAATAATTTTCTCTAAATTTAAAAAAAGAAGTTTTCAAATCAATCCCATTTTTAGTTCGTTTATTATGTGTTGAATGGGGAGCTGGATACTTAATTTATTTTTATCTTAATTTCTCTCCTATCCAATTTGCTAGTTAGTCACTTATTTATCACCATTTATAACTGCTCTACCACATATAATCCCCTACAATGAATATTTTCACATATAAATCCCCAACAAACTGCCTAAAAAAAAAGCCAAATCCATATGTCATCTCTTCATTAGAGCCAACAAATTGCTTGTATATTGTATGTCCCTCTTTTTTCTACATTACTCATGGATTTTAAAACATAATTAATCAAAATTAATATCCAGTTTGTTATTCGCCCGCAAAAAAGTCTCAATGACGAATTTACGTGGCTGTCAATAATATTGTATGAAAAGTATTTGTTTATTTTCCCAAAACATATTGGATCTATCGTTTTGCTGATTTTATAGTTTTTTCCCCCCCATTAAATCTTTTTTTTTTTTTAAATATTTTCTCCTCGTGGATTTTAATGCTCGCGCGCGCCCCTTAACTGTGTCAATGGCCACATTTATGTGTGTTGTTTATTTTTTTTGGCCAAAAATCATTTTGATTAAAAATCTTGTCATGCTTCACTCAAAATATACAAAAAAAAAAAAAAAATCAAAGCCAAAAAAGCGACCGATATAAAAATTTGCATAGACCTGTGAATGAGACGCAGGGAATGGATGAATGAATGAACGAATGAACAAACGAATATGAAAGACGGAACATAAATAAATCATAAAACCGATGCCAAGCCATAGTTTTTTGTTGTTTTTATTTTTCTCGCCGAAAGCTTGAGGGCTCCAATATTTGCTTTGATTTTAATTGCCCGCCCGCTTATATAAAGATCTGCTGTGTTTATACAGTAGACTAAAGCACGCATTTGACACATAATTTGAATGTCTCGGCTGCTCCTCCTTTGGGGCAAACAATGACGGAACCCAAACGTTGGTCTAGAAAGTTTTTTGGCCCAATGCCTCAGCCAGGAAGTCAGCTGGAAATTTGCTCAAGTGGCTTCGAGTGGGGCCTCTCTTTTTTTTGATAAGGAAACGTGACTCGTACTAGACTGCGTGGCACGCACCGACTTTTGGGGCAAACAAAACTCTCAAGTGCTGACGAGTCATTTAACTAGGAAAAGTCTCATTTCAGCTAAAAAAAAAAAAATATACTCATATTTATGGACTTGTTTGCTGTGGCTCTCTCCGCCAGATAGGGTTCTACGAAAGGCAGTAATAGATTCATAAACTAATCAGTAGATGGAAATATGATGCAGGCATCTACACTCAAATGAAATATCAATAGATTTGCACCGTGCTTGGAAATTCTCTAAAGAAAATAAAGTGGTTTTCAAAATAAAATATCTAAATAAAAATATATTTCATATATAAAATAAATATTTTTCTCTGAGTGTATAGTCAAGAGTTGTTAAAAGTCATTGGATGTTCTATGGAATTTATTCCTAGATTCATAAATTTATTAAGAAACTAAACTAATTTGACAAAAGGACATTGAATAATTTTTTTAAAATAAATTGTTTCTGTTTGTAGCCATTCGCTTATGGGAAACTATTACAACAAATCAACATCGTTCGACGAATGCCTCCTAAGAAAAAAGGGGTATACGAGTCATAAGAGAATGAGCCCTAAAACAGTCCCAAAAACCCCACCTTCCACCGTCTGTTTAATCCTCCACCCGGATGACAGAGAATATTCTCTGATGCTGTTGCTGTTTCTGTTGCTTTTGCTGCTGCTGTTTTCACACATTAAGCATTGAGCATTAAGCATCGACACAGATATAATACCATGTTGTACCCGGTAATTGTTCTGTAAATGCAGAAATAATTACTTTCAATGCGCCAATAAACAGACAGCGACAAGACAAGAGTTGGTCTGCGCGCCGTCAATCAGTGCATTTGTGCACGCAGCAGGAGCTTGATCAATCAGGCAGGCAGCCAAGGCAATCAGCGGCTTGAAAGAAAACTGAAAGCAGAGAAAAGTAGGTGACCAGTAGAGCCAGCAGCCAGCAGCCAGCAGCCAGCAGCCAGTCGGCGCGTCATCTCTTGGTCAGCCATCAAGTTGGTCCAACTCCGGCTGCTGTCGGCCTCAATGTTGGCCTAAACGAAATCGTCTGCTGACTTTCAATGCAACAAAACGTTCTATGGTGCACCAGCAGCACATCAACCTCTCCATCAGCAGTGGCTTCATCTGTAGCCCCCATCTGTGGCCACCATCCCGTAGCTTCTTTCTCTTTTTACTCGAAAAACCGAAACCATAAACAACTTTTACTGCGTAGTGCGGTAGTGGCAGTGGCAGTGGCAGTGTCTGTTGTTGTTGCTGCTGCCATTTACTTTTAGCCAGACTTTAATTATAATTGCCGGCTCTCCTTGTCTTCTCTCTCATTGCAGATCGATGATGCAGCCATTCAGGTGTACAAGGATGGGGACTATGGTGCCTATTTGGACCTGGAATCATCGCTGGCCGAACAGACCGAGGAGATCGAGGGCCTGAATGCCAGGTGAGTGCACAGTTCTCCCTCTCTCCCTCTCCCTTCCTCAGTGGAGTGTGTGTGTGGGATGATCGGTGGACACTAACGAATTGTCAACCCACATGGTGGTGGCCAGAGGCGGTCGACACCTGGCGCAATCAGTGCCACCGCAGCCACAGCAGCCACCCACAAAAATTTGTCAAAGAATTTTCACTTTTGCTAAGGCATCTGCTGCTGCTGCTTACCTTGAACCCATTTTGGCTGCTCATTTTCCCACCCCCACGTTTTTGGGAAAGCCGCAGAGCAGCATCTGGACGTTGAAATGTTGAACCTGTCCTCCTTTGGGTTACTGGGGCACCAGATCGTGGGTGGCTCTCTCTCTCTGTCGCTCCTGTCAGCCTTTCACCGAAATGCAACATATATTACACATACGACATGGCGGTCGGATCGCCTTCTTCTTGACCATATCCGACTCCCATCTAAGGGGGGGTGGGGGGTGGTGGAAGGGGGGGGGGGGATTCGCTAATAAAGTTATTTGACTGTCGCTCGTACTCGTATTTGTGGCAGGCACACACAGGAAACGGACTCTCTGGCCTGCCTGAATGCCTGCCTGCCTGCCTGGCAGTGCTCCAGACATTTGCATGCCACGACATGGCTACGTGCAACTTGTTGCTGCCGCAACTTGCAGTTAATTTGCATTTAATCCGCGCACAAAAGAGACAACGTACAACGTACGAGTACGAGTATAAGCCATGGCTATGGGTACTGCCACATTTTTGATGTCGTTGTCGTTGCTGTTGTTGGACCTCTGCCTCCTCCAGTCGTTATACATATATATATATTTTTTTTTTTTGAGCGCTTTTTCTTCATAACTGGCATGCATATAAAGTACATTTCTCAACAAATACCCCTTGAGGTATTAGAAAAGGGATGCGCTCGACTAGGGAGAACATTTCCAAGGGAAATATCCAAAGATAGATTCCATTACCGTTTCAAGCATAAGAATTGCTTCTTCTAGTCGAGGTACCCACTAGTCGATCATTATGTGTACTTTTGATAGTTTTTTTTCTTTGTTATTTATTTATTTCGCGGCCAGAGTAGTGCCAGAGCAGTGGCAGAGCAGTGCCAGAGCACCGTGTGCGAACGTGATGTCATGACAAAAGGCAGCAACATCAGCAGAAGGCAACAGGCGGCAGGCGGCAGGCAGCAGGCAGCAGGGCAGGCGCTAAAGCAGAGCTCTGCCGCACAAAAGAAAAATGATGTACGCGATGGGGCACAAGTGTCAAAGTAGAAGAACACACAACAATACAGCAAGATGGCTTAAAGAAGACCAGGGCTCAAAGAAGAAGGCTTAAAGTCATAACCGTACCAGGGGCAAAGTCAATGTTCTGAAGTTGCTTAACCTCCAGGGAGGAGAGATGAGGCATGGGAAAGAGGCAGCCAGGCAGGCAACTGGCAGTCTATTTCTGACTTTCACTTCATCCAACCAGCCATCAGTCATAAACCGGGAATAAGGTGGTGGCTCCTGGCATCCCCCCCCCCAGATGCTTTGAAATTATAACGTAAATGTCGCCGCGTCTGCGCAAATTGCAGCCACTTTGCAGCGTTTGAAAGGGGCAGCCCATTTACGCGAGTCTGCGGTTGGCGCCAATGAGAGTGGTCTATAGGCCCAAGAGTGGTCTTGGGCCCGTCCTCTGGGCCACTAATCATGCTTATCGCATTAGTCATGGCAGCGTGCTTGCATGCAAATCATGTGCCTCATGCGCCGCATCAAAAATTCCTCAGACAAGAGACGAGAGACGGGAGACGAGAGAGAGGACAGAGACAGAGACAGGTGTGGCTGCAGAAGAAACCTTTATTATTATTATGAATTCTTGTCTATATTCCGATTCCAAGTCCAAGTCCAGGGTGCCCAATGCCCAGTGCCCAGTGCCCAGTGTGTGTGTGTTCTTCATAGTCCATTTTCAATTATCTGCTTTGTTGGTTATTATTTTTACGAGTATTATGAGGGGCGGCAGGGAGGCCAAAGCAGCAAAGCAGCAAAGCAGCGGGTAATCAATGCTCTTAACTGGTCAATGAACCCTCCCTCTCCACCCAGTGGACCCAGCAGGCAGGCACTGCTGTTTGCCCCCCCACATAGTGTGCCCTGAGAAATTCAAACAATATTACAAATCAATGCAATATTACAAATCTAATATCTAATTATATATTTTATATTTTGAACAGCCGCAAAAACTCTCTGGTGGTACGCACACAACTGAATGTGCGCGTGCATTCGATTATTGGTAAGAAATACGAATCAATTCACTAGGGAAAACCCTACTTAATAATGGGAAAAACTACTCGCATCTTGGCAGAAAAACTACTTTCATCGGAGGGCAGCGACCTGCGACGTGCGTTATTCTCATTGAAGCAGGTGTTCCAGGAGGATAAGGATCTGGTGCATGCCTTTGTGGCCCTCGGCGGTCTCAATTGTCTGGTGCGCGTGGGCAATTGCGCAGATCAAAACTATCAGAATTATATACTGCGTGCCCTGGGACAGGTAAGAGAATCCCACAGATCGATGGTTCGGCGGATAGATGGACAGATGGATAGATCCCAGAGGATAATTATGTCATTTTGTTGTTGCTGTTTAGGTCATGCTCTATGTGGATGGAATGAACGGCGTGATGAAGCATGAGCCGACAATGCAATGGCTGTACTCATTGATTGCCTCCAATTACCGATCCGTGGTGAAGACGGCCCTCAAGCTGTTGCTGGTGTTTGTGGAATATGCCGAGTCCAATTGCTATGTGCTGGTCAGTGCCATACACGCGGTGGATGCCACACAGGGCACGTTGCCATGGTCGAATATAATGAGGTATACTTTTGGGCAGAAGACCATCGGAGATGGGGGAGCCATTCATTCATTTGATTGAATATTTTGATCGTTTCCACAGACTGCTCAAGGACTATGACAATGCAGATGCCGAACTGGTGATCTATGCCACATCGTTGATCAACAAAACCCTCGCTGGACTGAACGATCAGGACACGTTCTACGACGAAAGCGATCTACTGGAGCAGCAGGGCATGGAGACGGTCATCCAGCGTTATATGTCCAAGCCGGGCACCGATCTGGATCTGCTCGATCAGCTGCAACTCTACGAGGCTGTACTCAAGTGGGTGGCAGCTCTACCCAAAGAATTATGCCCGCAGATTGCTCATATATCTCGTAAACTCCTTTCCAGATTCGAAGATGGCGAATCTGATGGCCAGCGGCTGCCCCAAAACTCTATGCGCAAGACTCAGCGCTATCGTCCGGGCTCGAACACCACAGAGCGACGCAAATCGCGACGCCACAGCACCGACAACAGTCCTGCGCCCATCACCAAGGTCCTGGCCACAACCCTACTGCGTATGACGCCCACCCAGGGAACCCTGGACGAGGATAGCTCGGGTTCCACCAACTCCACGGAGTTCAGTGGCGGCCTGTTCAACGAGAAGAAGCGTGAGAATCGAATAAGGATGTCCTGCAGCACTCAGAGAACTAATGCCCTCTTGGATTTTTACAGCACGTGATGGTGCGGGAGTCACGCCTGGCCTTAGGCGTCGTCGGGAGCGCGCAGAGCGGCACAAGAGCTTCCTCAAGGAGCAACAGGAGGCAGCGGCCAATGGGATATTTGCCGCCCTGGAGCAGCGCGAGGGTTTGGGTGAGTACGGTGCCGCAGGATAACGCAAAGGCTTCTCTGTACAGGCTGCTTACTAACTTTTGATTCTCTCTATCCCCAACAAAAACAAAAAACAAAAACAATGCTAATCCATGCTCCATCCATGTGTGTGTTTGTCCCGCTGTTGCCTCACCCGCTGATCCATATGCTAACCGGCCAAAAGGCCAAATCGTAACAGCCATTCCTGCCACCATACAAAGCGGCGACAGTCCGCCGCAGTCATTGCAGCACGAGCTGCCGCTGCAGCCGTGCAACAATAATATTAGCAGCAACAGCAACAATGACACGCCCAATAACAGCCTGCTGCTGAGTCCCAGCAAGCAGCTGCTAAGCGGCAGCCACAGCATCTCGATCATCAACAACAGCTTCGACAAGGCCAACAACAACAATAACACCAACAATCAGAACGAGTTCCTTACGAAAAAGAATCTCTTCCGCGAACGGAACGCCACTGTGATCAATGGGATCATGAAGAACATCCAGCAGACGGCGGACAGTGGCTACAAGAAGTACGAGAATGATGCGAATCGCCTGAATAACTACTACACGCAGATGAGTCAATCGCCCAAGCATCAGCTGCAGCAGCAGGATCCCGATGGAGTCCTTCTCAGTCCCAAGAAGTCGCTGAATGCGTCAGGATTTGATTTCACGCCCGTTCCGCTCAGCTCCACGCCGGTTAAGGGAGATATCCCACCAGAAGCAGAGCCACTGAGTCCCATACAGAAGCCCATGGCATTGGCGTCACCACCACCGCCACCGCCGCCGCCACCACCACCGCCACCCAGCTGGTGGCATGCCCCCATTGGCAGCGTTGCGACCAGAACCCTAACCAGTACTAACCCCGCTGTGGATACCCCAACAGGTAGGGTGCCGTGTGTTGCATACTCTCGAGCGCTGCCAAGACATGTCCATCACTCCATCACACAGCAGCCGCTGCATACTTTTCTGTGTGACATACCCCCAGGGATAAGTGTGCTATTACTATACAATTGTTGTTCTCCCCCACACAGATCTGGACAGCGAGGGGAAGCAGCAACAACAGCTGCTGCAGCTGCAGCTGAAGCGCGACCACACGGTCAAGGATCTGACACAGAAGCTAAGCAATCTGCCCACAAGTCCCACACAGGAGCCAGGCAATCGCTCTGCCATTGTCGGCGATATGTCCGGCCTTATATCGAAAGCCAAAGAGGGACTGGCCAAGAGCAAAAGCAAGGGGGAAATATCAAGGTGAGATTTAAAGGATTACATTGCTCGGGATACTTTTTTCAACTGAAAGCCTTGTTCTTCCTGGTACTCGTCCAAGTACGAAATCGTATGACTTTTTCGGCTTTGATAGAGATAGCTTATGCTATGAGTATGCCACTACTTTTTCCCTGGAAGAAGACTGTATAGAGTCCATAACTGACTCAGAATCGAAGAGATTATATTTCTAGCGATATGAACCGGTCCTCGAAGAGTTTAGGTATATATTAATTTTGTGGTGACCCCCCCAATAGACGACTCTGTCTGTCCGTCGGGCCTTCCGTCTGTATGTCTTGTTTGACACCTAGTTCTAAGGGACTATAAAAGCTAGAGCAGACTCTTTGATAGCCCCACCTAACCTGTGATATCGCACTGAATCAAGGTTGTTTCAATATTTCTCCCCGCCCCACTCCGTCTCCACAAAGAAACCGAAAACGCGGAATCATTGAGACTGACCAGAATGAATACCAATCAGGTTGCAGAATCTAGATCAGATAGGATCATTATTGAAGCCAGAATGAACAAATCCATTTTCTGTGACTGCGGAATTATTTCCACGCGCTTACTCATTCTCTCTCTTTCTACCTCTGACTGTCTCTCTCTGTGCCATTATAAAATACACATACTGTATTGGTTACATACATCATAAGCTGACATATGTACATATGTATGTACCGTGTACCAAGTAGAGCAGCGGCCCTTGCCGCGTCTCTCAGCGTTCCCGCTCGATACCTCTTAAACCGAATTAACGGTAAATCCGATTTGAAGCTCGTGCGATGATTGCGTACAGGTTGTATCTCGCGTACTTCTGATTTACGAGTATATATGGCGCCACGTTTACAGCCGCGATAAGAATTTAGGGCAAGAAATCCCGTGCATCGGGGGCAGCACGAGCAAAGATACGTATACGAATAGTAGAGGGTTTTTTTAAGGGTTCGTTCGTGACTCATTGGTAGAATCTTTTGGGGAACATAGAAATATGCTAGCTAGATCTCCCATATCCCCATATCTTGCCTACGATGTGACTGGGGGATTTCTATCGGGTTTTACATCGAATCGATCTAGCGTTCCCTTAAAAGTCATTTTGCTGGAGTTTACAAAACAGCAAAGTCCTAGTAGGATTTGATTTATACTCCTGTCTATTACACAAAATAATAAACTGCTCAAAGCCGGACTGACGTAGCCAGAGAAAATTCAAATGGAACCGTTCAATACTCGAACGATTCTGATGGAGGGCCTGAAAGAGAACGCCCAGAACATTCAAATCGAGCTACGAATGCTGCGCCAACGAGGGGTGCCGCACGCGGCTTTGGATTTAGAGACTCTGAGCCGTGTTGTTGAGCTGAATCGCCAGCTACTACATACCACAGAGTCCTTAACCCAGATTCTTCGGGAAATTGTCGATGAGGCCATGGATGTGGAGATTATTGGGGCTCATATCGTGCTGGCTCTCGAGGTGTCCCGCATACAGGACGAAGTTATCGCCAATGATGCTTGAAGAAGTCGAGCTCTACGAAATGGGTGGAACCTTTGGCCAATCGTCCCCCAGCTGGACCTGGAGCGGGGCGTATTCCGCAAAATAACTAATCTCAGAGTTCCCAATAAAAACCCATCGATAGTTAACAGTTAAAAAAAGATTTATTGCAGGAACGGGGGAACTATAAACTATTGGCTCTAGCCATAGCTTATCCGTAGATGGGATTGTACTTCTCATACAGGGCAGTGTAGGCAGCCTTGGCGGCATCCACAGACAGTCCCTTGCGGCTCAGCCAGGCATCGTACTTGGCCGCACCCTCGGCATCGGCGGGCTTCTCAATGGCAATATCGCCCTCGTGGATCTGCTTGTAGAGGCCATAGAACTCCAGGTACACCTCCGTTGGGGGCTTCTTGCTGAAGGCCTTGGTCTTCTCGAGAATTGCGTTGAACTGCAACACAGAAACAGAGTCAATCCTAATCTTTGCGGATACGGGATCAATCCAAGAGACTTACATCCATTTCGTTCGAGTAATGCCGTGACAACTAATGATTAATTTCGTACAGCTCTCAACTTTTATACCACTCGAACATCGTGGCAGGAGCTCTTATCTATCGATAATGCAACCCGATAATGCGACGGCGGCAGCAACGTCGGCGGAGTCCATCGGGCAAATTTGTTTGATTAGATTTTTTTATGTGAGAGTTTCGTAAGAGTTCAATAATTCATCCAGTGGTGGGTTCTAGGTAAAAGTTTGGGTCTTTCCATATCTGCCTCTCGTCATCGCAGCTCTCGAAGAAAGTAGCCTGGCCTCTTCCTGCCTGGCCCCCGAGTCGCCTGATTCTATCGTTATCTTTCGGGACTATTTTGCTGCCGGACACAAGGCGTGTCCCCCGATAAGGCCATTTATGGCCCACCTCCATCGACTGATAGCTGATAGTAACACTCCGTTCGCAAAATGTCGTATACTGCCATCATGATGACATAAAGGATTAACCTTTGGTTATATCTCCCCCTCAAAAAAATAGATCATCGAGTGTGGATCAGGAGCTGAAGAAGTCCGAGCCGAAGAAATCAGAGAACGAGCTGCACTGGGAGGAACTGGTGCGGAATATGACGCGACCCTTGAACCTCTGCGACCTGGACTTTACCGATCTTCACGATGACGATGAGAAGGATGTGCTGGCGCCACGTGGCCTGGGAGTCGGAATACCGCCACCACCGCCGCCGTTCGCAGGCGGTGGAGGCATACTGCCACCACCCATGATGCCACCAGCACCCAGCTTGATCCCTCCCCCCATGTTTGGGTATGGTGGGAGCCTCACCAACAGTGTGAATAGCTCCCTGAATGGATCCGTGAATGGGGATCTGGCTAATGGGAATAACACGATCAAGAAGAACAAGAAGACGGTAAGGGGATTGAAGTAAGGATCATCGAAAGGGCAATGGTTAAGATCGTGTCTTCTATCCGCAGGTCAAGCTCTTCTGGAAGGAAGTGCGCGAAGACTTGATACCCCAGGTGGTGGGTAAGACAATTTGGGATGAGCTGCCCAATGCCAATGTGGACACACAGAAGCTCGAGCATCTCTTTGAGTCCAGAGCCAAAGACTTGATGACCAAGGTGAGACCATAGATCTATCTGTGTACCTCTTTCCCTACCCCCATCGTATTGGTCAAAGGTTCTCGAACAAAAATCGAATTGAATATTCCCCTAGGATAAGTGTGATTAAATTAGTTATACATAAATAGTCTCTCACACTCTACCTATCGTTATAACCAAATGCGAATGATATTTGTACTCTTTTTTCCTCATAAATTTCTTATAAATGTCGAACGGAACGGATAAAAATCAACGTAAATGTTAAACGTGTGCTAAAACTCCAATCACAATCACAAATCAAACAAATAATTTCTTTAAAACAATGTCTCTCTTTAGGAGGTGAGTGCCATGAAATGTTTTTTTTTTTTTCGTTTTTAATACAAATCTCTTTCAATCTATATGTACATCTCACTCTTTCTATCGCTCACTCTGTCTTTGTCATGATTTGATGCCCATTTTGTTTTGTGTTTTGGTGTTGGTTTCCTATCACTCTTATACACGCACAAACACACACACACAGACTCTTATACACACAGTATCAGAACAGATCAGAACAGACTCCACTCCACTGCACTCTGTCTCAATCTCTCTATCTCTCTCTCTGTCTGTCGTTGACTCTTTGCACCATATTTTGTGTTGATCACTGAACAATCCTTGTATGGAATAAAATAAAACTAACGCTCTTTTTGGGTGGATAATCTTTCAGAAACAACAAGAGCTAAACAAGAGCAAAGAGATCATTGTGCTCGATCACAAACGTTCCAATGCCATCAATATAGCAATCACCAAGCTGCCGCCACCGCGTGCCATTAAGGCGGCCATCCTGAAGATGGATGCCACCGTGGTGACTCGGGAGGGCATTGACAAGCTGCTGAATATGCTGCCCACCGATGAGGAGCGTGGCAAGATCCAAGAGGCGCAGCTAGTTAATCCGGAGCTACCTTTGGGCAGTGCCGAGCAGTTCCTCTTGACGCTGGCCTCCATCTCAGAGCTGGGGTCACGTCTGAAGCTGTGGGCCTTCCGCCTAGACTTCGACAACAGCGAGGTAAGAATAGGCCATCAAATAATATAGATTGATGAAAAGATAACGGAATTTCTTCATTTGCAGAAAGAAATTGCCGAACCACTGATGGATCTCAAGCAAGGCATTGAGATCTTGCGTCAGAATCGCACCTTCCGCAGCATTCTCTCTACCCTGCTGTCCGTGGGCATTTTCCTGAATGGAGCACCCGTCAAGGGCTTCCAGATTGAGTACCTGGCCAAGGTGCCAGAAGTGAAGGACACCGTCCACAAGCATTCGCTGCTGCACCATCTCTGTCACATGGTCATGGAGTCGAGCAGCGACACGAGTGATCTGTACTCGGAAATCGGTCCCATTACGCGTGCCTCCAAGGCTGATTTTACCGACCTGGCCCACAACCTCACGCAACTGGAGGCCGAGTGCAAGGCCTCCTGGGATCGCTTGAAAGTGATAGCCAAACACGACTGCCCTCCACCGCTGAAGCAGAAGCTCGTGGACTTTCTGGCCGATTGTGCGGAGCGCATAATCATCCTGCAGATCGTCCATCGGCGCGTGATGAATCGATACCGCAAGTTCCTTCTGTGGCTGGGCATGCCCCAGCACAGTGTGGCCGAGTCCAGGCCAAATGAGTTCTGCCGCACTCTGTCCGAGTTCGCTTTGGAGTACCGCACGACCAGGGAGCGAGTGCAGCAGCAGCTGGAGAAGAAGGCCAATCACCGCGAGCGCAATAAAACGCGCGGCAAGCTGATCATCGATATGGCCAAGTTCAAGACCAAAGAGGATGTGGCCGATGCAGAGTTGAAGTACGGTTTGAGGACCAATTTGGGCCAAGGATCCGTTTACTAATTGTCCTGTTCCCCGTTTCAGAACCCTTCTGGGCACACCCAGTGCAGATCAGGCGGATGGCACTCTCACCTGGCGTCGACGGCGCGCGGAGCAACTCCGCTCGCCCATTGCCCGCCAGAGCGAGGAGCAGTTCACCGATGGCGATGATGAGATACTCGAATCTCTGGTTAAGACCGCCACCAAGGCGCCGGGCACTCGGACCACACCCAGGGAGCGCAAGAGGACGCGCAATGCGGATCGCAAATCATGTGAGTCCATGTTTTCCGATTAGATTTATTCCCAGAGCCTCTCCGAATACAGATTTATTGAAAAGGTGTTGGTCTATCTTTTCGACTTCCACACACACACAGCGCGCTATATGTACTATAACCTTTAGCTGGACACCCACCTACACACACCTACACATGCACAGAGCACACGCCCACGAAAGAGGGTACAACCAGCGACACTTATAAATCTATACCAATCAATCAATCAATCAATGAAAGCTAGTATTCTTTATAAATACTTAATCCCACATGAAATTCCAAATTCACGAAACTTTCCCCTTAATTTCCTGTATAATATCCCTTTTTTTCGAACCTTTGGTTATTCCCACCCAACTGGAAGCTTTCGTTTTGCCAGCACACAGATCTGTTGCCTATATTGGGTTTTAATTTGTTTTTCATTTCGTTCTCTTACCATTAACGCACCATTTTATAAAAATATCCAAAATATATATTGACTATCGATCGAGAAGTGAAGCGCAGCCGCACGCGCGAAGGATTCACAGTTGAAAGAGCACCATCGCCATAGAAACCGTAACCGTTACCGTTAGCGTTTAACCGTAGCCGTAAACCGTAACCGTAACCGTTACCGAAAGAAACAGCCAACTGTTTTTTTAGGTTTTACCTTTTTGGTTAGTGAATTAAATACTGTGTTGAATTTTTCATTTTGTTTCCCTTTACGAATTTTCTTTGTTTACTTTTGTATTTTGTTTTTGGATCCAATTTTGGTGCATGCGAATAAGAATGGATCCCATAAATGCTATAAATTTCCTGGGCATGATTGTAACAGACAGATATTCAGGCCTATAAAACGCATGTCTCGTACACCTAACATCTGCATGAAAGCCTCAACTTAATATATATGAGAAAAAATGTTTACTTTATTGAATTTTGTACTGAAATAATATTCTAATAATTTATTGTATAATTTTTCAGTGCGTCGCACGCTTAAGAACGGTCTGACCGATGAGGAGAAACAACATGTGGCTGCCTTGATACAAACCTATTAGGATCTAGATCTGGAGAGATGTATATTTCCATAGAGAACCCAGTCCAACCCCCCCCCCCCCCCACCACCCCCAGTGATGTCACGAGTCGGGCTATGCGCGCAACAGACTGATATTGGCGATCTCGGACGAGCAGAGCAGCGAAAGCAAGCGAAACCCCCAGAAAAAACCCCTTTTATACGACACACCACATTATCAGCATCACAAAATAACGAAAATGTCCTTAAAAGAATGCGTTTTTTCATAGTGTTTTATCCTGTTATTAATATATAATTATTTTTTTTTTTTGCTTCGGCCAAGTATTATTAATTACACGTAATTAAAAAAAAATCTGTATTGTAATGTTAGATTTTTTTTTTTCAAATTGCAAAAGAATTTCGATTTCGATCCCGACTTTTTAATATATACCAAAATGCCACAAAGTTTTTGTGGGCTACTTAAATTAACTTAAATTTAAAAAAAAATATTACTACCTTAACTACGGAATCAAATCAATAAATAAAGATATTTATTATAATACATAAATTATATTTAACGACGGACGACTAAAAACCATTTGTACAGGGCTGCTGAACGTAGTCCAGGCAGAAGCCACGATTGTCTATGTCATTTGGGGCCTCTACACCATCCGTGTGGAAGTACAGCCGGAAGGGACGAACGCTGGCTGAAAGAGGGAGATTGAAAAGGGGACAATCGCAAATAAAATCCTGCACTTACATTGCACAGTCTTGGCCAACATGCCAGCCTCGGCGCTGAAGGTGCCACCACACACCCGATCCTCGCAGCCCGGCAGCGGGGGAATGCGATCCGCCGACCGAATGCAGCCAATGAGCAGCCAGTCGCTCACACAGCCATTGGCCCCGCCGCCGCCCACCATGGTGGCCACCGGATTGTTGGAGTTGCCCGACAGCGTGAAGGCCCTCGAGCGGTTATTCTCCAGGTCCGGGCAGGTGTTGTACTGAATGCCGCAGAAGTTGCGCTCGTTGCGAATGCAGATGCTGTAGTCCTGATTGGAGAGCTGCCTGCCACCCACCGTGTTGTAGTTGAAGCTTCGCACGCGACCGCTAATGGCCGTGTAATACTGCAGACAGCCCTGATCCGCTCGGCTGATGCTGCCGCAGTGGATTTGCGTGACGCGGATGCGCCAGAGGCGCGGAAAACTTCCGCTAGTGATCACAGATAAGACAATCGGATTGCTCTGGCCAAGACCTGCATCGATGTACACTGCCCAGTCATGAAATTGACATTGAGATGGTTACGAGATGGGAGCAGGAGACTAGAGGAGGTATTCAGACTCACTGTGGTCTGCCGTCGAGCTGCCACAAATGGTGGGCGTCGGACTTCCGCCCGATATCAGCAGCTGATCTTGATTGCACAAATGATTGGCGGCCTCGGGCGGAGCTATGGAAAACATATCCAGATCCAAGCGCAGCTGACAGATGTCCGGATGAAGTTTCTGAACCGTCACCTGGCAACTGCCAGTGCCATCATAAACATCCGGATGATTGGGGTTCACAAAGTACGTTGAGTTCTCGCGTATCACGCCCCCGCAGGTCTGAAGAACTATAGAAAAATCATAGTACACGATTTTTTGAGGGAACTCCAGTCTGGAGCGTATAATTTATTGTCTAAAAACTTACATATGCAACAGACGCCATAGCCACCGCCACAGGGACCCGCTGGTATGCCATTCCTGAGAATACAATCCTTACTGGGAATACAGTTGCCCTGCTCTCCAGAGGGCGCCGAACAGCTGCCGGGCCCAATGGGCACCAGAGCAAATATGGGCAAAACTACAAAGGAACGAAGGAACACAAATGAACACACACACACTATTTCGGAGGAGATGATTCCCAACCCAACCTACACTTGGACTCGCGGAAACGGGGACCCGGCGACAGCCACTTGCTGCCAAAGAATAGATCCCGCCAGGTGTTTGTCTGCGGATGTGCTGGCACCTTACAGGTGGCCAGGACAAGGAGACAACAAGACGCCACCGCGAGTTGCAAGTGCCGGGTGCCCATGATGATGATGATAATCCAGTGAACTGCACGCGTTGCTCTTTGGCGCTGTTATGGCAGGCAGCCCTTGCGGAGCCCACGCTTTATTTCACTTGGCATGGCAAAAAGTTTAATGACCGCAATTTGTTCGACGCTTTTCGCTTTTTAGTTTGTGACAAACCCATCCCATCGCCCGAATTTAGCTAAATATTAATTACAATAACAAAACGCAATCGTCGAAACAATTAGATGCGCCACCAGCAGCCACATTGCCACCGAGTGGGAGTGGGAATGGGAATTGGGGATTGGGGAAGTAGCAATCGCATCTGTGTGCTGTCGCTTTTCACGCTTTTCAGGCTTTTCGTCAGCTCTTTCTCTGTTTGGTTTCCTGTTGCGAATCTTTTTTCCACACCTCTGTGCCGCCCATTAAATGTGGTGCAACTCCACAACCCCCAACCCGAAATGCGAGCAGTGAAAAGTGCTGAATAATTTACGAGTATTCACAGCATAACAGAAAGCAGCGGCAATCACAAACAAATGAAGATAGACGTACTATATACACACATTAGCAATCGGGATATTTATGGTTTCACCTCCCCGCCTCACCTCATCAGAAACCGATTTTGACGTCATTGCTTCACAAACCACTAATTGGATTACACAGTTCCCCCAGCAATTGGGTCAATGTCAATTGAATTGCTTAATTCAATTAGGTTTTGGTTTTTCCTAATGTATGTATCTTGTATTTGCATCTGAATTTGAAATTGAAAATTTCCATCGTTTATCACCAGAAACTGACCTTCGCAATGGAATTTGCTCAGCTTTTCTACCGGAAGGGAGTGGTGAACCGTCCACAGAACATTGATAAGCTTTTAGTTTGCCTGAACAGGTCGTAACAAGTGTTATATGGCCCAAGCGTTTCAAGGTCTGTTTTTGCACAGCAACATTTTTGGCCGCCCCGTTATCGGGGTGTGATAAAACGTTTCTTAAAACCTCCTGAGATCCACTGAATAATGGAGCGGGTAAAATTACGTTTAGATTTTACAAATATTTCAATAGTCCCTGAATTTGAGTCCAAGGTCATAATCAAATAATTGGCTCGTAAATTCATTCAATTGGTCTGAAGGAAAAACAAACCAAGCTTAAAGGTTTCAGCGGCGCACTGCTTGCTCCGAAGCTTCAGGTTTAATGGATGAACTGCTTGCAGGATTTGTTCAAGGAAAAACGAACCAAACCTTCAGGTTTCAGCGGTTCACTGCTTGCACCGAAGCTTCAGGCTTAATGGATGAACTGCTTGCAGGATTAGTCCAAAAGAAAACGAACCAAACCTTCAGGTTTCAGCGGCGCACTGCTTCATCAAGGAACCCAGCTGCTTTCTGCAAGGCTATTGACAGCTTCGGCATCCCATCTGATTATAAGATAAGCACATCCATTTTTGTCTGTGGCCTGAATACACTCGTCATCCACTGGATCATTATTCCACTGGGCAAGTCGTAAAAATTATTGAATCTTCTGCCCTTTAGCCCTGTACATTATATGCTCTATAGCCGTGTATACCTATTATAAAAACCAAAATGGATACGGACTATGAATATCAACTGGACTTGGATCGAAGGGTATAGCTTCGTTTTAAGCTTCTAAACGGAACGAGGAAGTCTGCCTGCTAAATACAGCTGAATTTGTTTCCTAAACACATCGGATTTTATATTTTTGATAAACATTCAATTTGTGTAACTAATTAACGGCTCGAATGAACTTGGATTCAAATTTAGATATCAATCAATTTTGGTTAGCTTCAAACATGAGCTAGTGGCAGAATCGAAATTTTGTTCTGATGGTTTCAGTGTTTCCAAAACTGCAGTTGACGACTGAGACTGCATCTTAGGGGCTTCGACATGGATCTTCTTGGGCTTCAGCAGGTCCTTTATAGCAGAATACACTGCGCAGGCGGCTGTCACTGCAGCAGAGAACAACAGGAAGCTGAAGACACCCACGATCAAGCTGGCCCGATTGTAGTCACCCCCGAAGAGCTTGGTGTTGAAGACCATTTCGATGGCTTGGAGGTAGCGGACTTTTGCTTCTATTATGCAGCCGTTGGGGTGACGCCAGAAGGTCATCGGCTGGATCTTGTTCCACTTCCACAGGGCCAGCTCCATCAACTCATCCACGGTGTAAGCTACGGGTAGCTCTCGGAAGGATCCGTTGCGTACATGAAGAATACTGGGCACACGGCTCACCGAGAAACGTGCAACGATGGTCCCGGTATACTCAATCAGCATGGTAGCCACCTCCACCCGGCTCTCATTCCGTTGCATTGCAGTGGCAAAATCGGTCCACACCCTCTCGAACTGGCTGCAGTTCTTAGCCAGGGGCAAGCAGAAGCCCACCATCCACTCGCCCTTCAACACCTGCTCCCAGCAGCCCTCGTCCAAGTGTACCACAGCGCGCCTCTCTCCTGATGATCCTGGACATAGTTCCTTTCCCAGAGTGCAGCCCAGAAATGCCGTAAACAGCAACGCGTATATATTGTATTTGTTCATCGCTTGGAATTAAATTTCCTAAATGTGTTCGCTATACTTGTACGAGTCGTAATAAATGTAGATTCGAGAATACGAGAAGCTGAGTTAAAAGTCAGAGATCTGTATGCCCTAAACCCCGATCAGGGCACGAGTAGATTATAATATTTATTTTCAAAGGTCTTGCTTCTAAGGTTAGGGGTTTTTTTTAAAAAAAGATTTGAAAAACTAGATGGTTTAGAAAATTTGCACCAGATCAATGAATACATCTAATAAAAGAGACCTATAAAATAATAAGATTGTTTTCTACTGAAGAAATGTGCACTTATACTATCCGTTACAGTGCGTCGTATCAGCTGAATTGTTGATGTTAATACAACAGATAAGATATCTTCTAGATAAACTAGATAAACAAGATAAGGATCTGTCTTAGAGTTTCACTTAAAATATGGTACTCCATGATTTAATCGAATCAAACACATGATTTAAACTTAATATTTTTATCAGAATTTATTCATTGATTTATTTGGTACATATTTTCATTTATAGCTCAGACTTAACGCCGCTTAGGGTGCATCTCTATCGCACTCAATGTCGCCGGATAGCTCGCACTCGCCCACACAGTATTTACCCGACGCCATCGAACAGAACTTGCCCTCGTTGCACTTGATGACGCGATCGGTCAATGTGGTGCCGTTGCACTGCTGGAAGGTGGTGCGACTGGTGCAGACGAACAGAGAGCTGGCTGTGCAGCTGGGACACTCGTCGGGTGTTGTTGCTTCAGAGTCTTGGCATGATGGTTCATAGGCACCCTCCGGGACACAGATTTTGGCTAGACTAGTGCAGACTTCGCCATCATTACATGGCAAAATTGCTCCTGGCTCGACGTTGTCCAAACAGAAGCGGTAGTGCGTCGTATTTACACAAGCCACATTGTTATTGCTCTGGCATATATTACATTCGCTGTGGATGTAAACCACCATCGAACTGATCATCAGGAAGAGGCACTGTTCGATAAGACCTTGCAACCATTAATATACAAACTTCATTTGTAATTGGTTTCTCTGGAAAGCTCACCAGAGTCCTGAGGAACTGGTACTGTTGCATTTTAGCTGGACTTTCAAGAACTGACTGAACGAGAGTCGCCAACAAATGCCTCATTTTATATGAGAAAAAACAGAAGCCAATTCTTCAAGAGATCTTCGACACACACAAACACGAGATAACCTGGGCCTAATCCTGCGAAAACATTAAAATATATGACAACATGGTGGCTACCGGAATATTCGCGAGATTAGCTTACTAGGAAGAGGCCAAAATGGCCGGATCATCAACTTTATGGTCCCTGCACGGCATTGAAAGATAATAGCACGAGCATCTCGCAGACCCTCCGCCATAAAGATATGACCAAGCGGCTTGGCTTTAAAAGGCCTGACACGCAGGTGCCCGATCATTAATTGCCAACTAGAGATGAAGGTGTCCAAGTTACAGATATTGTCGCTTGCTGTGCTCGCAGCCATCCTCCTGTCGCCAGCCGCCGTGGATGCTGTCTGTGGCCGGTGCGTGAACTCTCACGCGTGCATTAGCGAGACCCAGTACCAATTATGCTTCGATGGTAAGTGATTGGCCTACCCCGGAGTCTTCTATCTAATGAATCGGCTTTGATAGGTGTGCGCGACCAGACGCAAAACTACACGTGCCCCAGCGAGAGGGCCATCTGCACGGATTACCATGCCACCTGTATGGCTAACAGTACGAGTGTGCTAAGGGGCTGCGGAGATGTTTCCGTATGCGGTGTTTGTGCCGATATCGCCACCAAGTTCACTTGCACCTCGCGTAACACCTTTGCCGCCTGCAGCAATGGGGCGATCACCGCGTACACACAGACATGCAAGAACAATTTCGTGTGCAGTACGGCTTCAGCTACTGCGGGTACACCCTGTGTCTCCCATTGCAAGGGCGCAACCGGCGACGTATGCGATCTACCTGGGCTAGTTTTCGCCGATGAATTACCTATCGATACCACCTTAGTGGACACTAGTCCGGTAACCACAGCGTCCCCTTCCGATGATCCGACTGTAACCACTGTGAATCCTTCTACAGCAACAACAGGGATCACAACAGTAGACCCTACCACAGACTCAACCACAGTAACCCTTCCAACAGACTCCACTTCCACTCCTACAGTAAACACTCCTACTGAGACCACTCCAACCACAGTAACATCTCCCACAGAGACCACTCCTACTCCCACACCAAATCCTTCCACAGATACCACCCAAACCACAGTAAACACTCCCACAGAGACCTCCCCCACCACAGTCACTATTCCAACAGAACCTAGTCCCACTCCCACTGTAACCCTTCCAATAGAGACCTCCCCCACCACAGTCACCATTCCAACAGAACCTAGTCCCACTCCCACAGTAACCCTTCCCACAGAGACAACTCCAACCACAGTAAACACACCAACAGAGGTAACTCCAACCACAGTGACCCCAACCACAGTGACCCCAACCACAGTGACCCCAACCACAGTGACACCAACCACAGTGACCCCAACCACAGAGGAGCCTACTACTCAGACCACCCTACCAGCGGAGACCGTCTATTGTCAAGGCATCACCACCGCCGGTCGCTATGCCATACCCGGGGACACTGTGTGCACGAGGTAGGTCCACGATATCCCCCTGACCAGCTATCGAAAACTAATCGGATTATCCTTTTTCAGCTACATCAATTGCATCTATAGGGAGAACAGTTGGAAGGGCGTAGTCTATAATTGTGTCGCTACCAAGCCGTACTTCAACGCATCCGCCTTCACTTGTGGCACGACCAAGCCATCTGGACCGGGATGTACGGATGTATAGTGTTTTTTTTCAAACTCTAATAATAAATATAAAATGTACTTAAATTATCCAAAATAAAAATAAAACAATATGTAATAGAATACGATAAACTAGAAACAATATAAATCTGTTCTTAAATAAGAATCTACGAATGCAGTAAGTACCTTATAATAGAGGCATATCGGATTATTTTTATTATGGCAATCGTATTCTGCTCTCATTCCAGTACCGTTAAAATACTCTGTCCAGGAAGGAAGCCAAGAAGTACTTAGATTCTGGTCCTACTCTCCTTCTTAAAAAAAAACCATAGAATCTCGGTTTGTTGGATTGCCATAAATTACGGTACCTCGCATAAAATAGTTGTGCATGATTTGGTAATTCAAAAAATTTAAATTAGCTATTAGCTTTCGAAAAAAACGGACCAAAGCTTTAGGTTTCGTTGTTGAACTGCTTACAAGGGAAAACGAACCAAACCTTCAGGCTTCAGCGATGCACTGCTTCAGCTTTCAGCACTGCTTGAGCCAAGGCTTCAGGTTTTGTCGTTGAACTGCATTCAAGACTATTGCATGGTAAAAACGAACCAAACCTTCAGGTTTCCGTGGATAAATACTTGAAAAGAGATAAAGGAACCAACGCTTCCGGCCGAGCTTCGATGAACTTTATTAGTATGATGATAATGACGATGACTATATTATCACATGTATGCCATAACAAAACTTTTTGTTTTACTTTCTTTCTGATAATAAATCCATAGAACTTTTGTTTGTGGACTCAACTGAAATTCCTGTTGATTAATCAAGTATTAAATAAATACATCCACAAACATGTATCCAAACAAACTAGAGAGTAGTCCCTTTTGAATGTTAACTTTCTGACACATGCCGTTCCACTTTTTAACGAAGAGTTTTTCGACTCCAATGGTCACTGGTCTCCGCGCCCACGCAATATTCGTATGTTCTTATGCTGCTAATCTGGGAATAGCATGAGACCATATAAAGCAGCAATCATGTGGAAAGCAAAAGGCAAATAAAACAATTAGCGCGGACCCCGGAGAAAAGTTAAGACTGGGCAAACATTGAAGACGCAGCTTCTGGGTTTATGTCGAAGCTATCAACTAATTTCGTTTAGTCGTCTCAGAGCCTTGACAGTGAACACAAGCAATCTCTCTCTACACGAAAATGTCCCAAAATAACAACAGTTTTATTCCAATTTTGGCAGTGGTAGGTTTTGGTTTTATCTTAACAAGTAGAAAGGAAAATAACTGAAAGCGTTTTCCAGCTATTTCTGGCCTTTCTGGTGGGCCAAACCGTATCCGAGTGCAATGTCTGTCAATCGAATAAAGTTGCCTGCATCAATTCCACTTCCTTCTATCTGTGCTTTGGCGGTGAGTGTCCTCTATAGATATCATACTCCGGATTAAACATCTCTTTCGGCTTTGCAGATGGAACACCGCACACGGATCAACTCTACCACTGCCTTGAAGGCTTCGACTGCACAAATCTGACTGCGATCTGTACCCAGAAGAGCAACCAGCGGCCGCCCAGCTGTGGGGACACCTCCCAGTGCGGTCAGTGCAGCGCCCATCGGAACTTTCTGTTCGCCTGCCTGAGCCGTGGCATCTTTCAGATGTGCTATGGGGCTGTCAGTCCCACTGGGAAGTTCGGTTATTGTCCCACTGGCATGGTTTGTGATGCCAGCACCGATAGTATCTGTGTTCCTGAGGTGGCGAATCAAACGCTGACCTGTGACCTCAACGATCAGCTGGTGGATACGACCACAGCGTCGCCGACTTCCAGTACATCACCCGATCCTAATGAGAGTACAGAGAGCACCCCTACAGTACCTACAATACCTACAGTACCTACAACCACTATGAAACCCCTGACCCCCTTGGAAGTGTGTACGCAGCACCTGGAGACGGGCCTGTATCCCACAGATCCTCCGGATACCAGTTGCAAGCGGTACGAAAGTTCTATGTAATATTTTCCACACGTATTTTTAATTGTTAATCTTATATTTATAGCTACATCAGTTGCTACATTAAAAATAGCATTGTTGTTCAAGCCAAGGAATACGATTGCCCGACGGACTCCTATTTCGAAGCAGAGATGCAGAAGTGCTCATACATGAAGCCTGCTACTTGTCTTTAATAAACTATCAAATATCCTCTGTGTAGCCTGTACTTACTCTAAAGCCACGCCATTGAGGGTCAGGCTAGCTACTGTGGCGGAGCAGGTCGAGGGCAGGGCACTCGCACAGATCTTGCTGGAACTGTTGTAGTACAGACTGCCCGGACAGGTGTACATCTCTCCACTCCAGGTGCCACTCAGCAGAAAGCAGTAGATATACTGATGGCATGTGGTAGTGGGATCTGTGCCCACTGGATAGTATCCCTGCGACATCATGGCCGCACAATAGGCAGCAGGATTGCTCGTTGTTGGGGCCGCTGTCGTTGAGGTTGTGGAGCTGACGCTGGTCGAGCACGTCGACGGCATTGCGGCGACACACAGGTTGGTAGCGCTGCTGAAGTACAGACTGCCCGGACATGTATAGGTCTGACCCTCCCAACTGCCGCTGACCAAGCTGCACATGATATACTGGCGACAGGTCGTGTAGGCATCATTGCCTACTGCAAACCTTCCCTCGGCCTGCACGGCGGCACAATATGTAGTTGGGTTGCTGGTGGAAGGTGCCGTCGTCGTTGGAGGAGGACTGGTGGTGCTGCTGTCAGTTGAATCATCGGCATATGAACACGTGGGCATTATCTGAATGGATTCAAGAGAGTTGAAGTTATTTCTCTGACTGTGTCCCTCAGACACTATTTATCTATTATTATGATTTAAAGACCGCGTGAAAATGGTATAAAATTATCTGGAACTGCCTGAGCATCATAAAAGTCTAGACAATAGCATTTGGCCTTCTATAACTTTTCATGACTTCGAAGTATAACTGCTTTTACTGACAGACGGATGACCAATCGGCTTCAGGTATTCCCGAGCCGTGAGAGAGTGGTTTCAGTGCGCTGCAACCGTTTACGGCCACAGACTGTTAAAGGAGAGTGGTAACAGGCTGTTAACTTGGGCTGCTACAGCTGCTGCCCTGCAAATTCCTCTCTGCTTCTTCATTGAGCTGCCTGCACCCTAAGCACCTTTCCTGGTTAGAACTTACCCCATCCGCGGGCAGACCACATATCTGTGTGGCATTGATATTACACACATAGCCGTCGGCACAGGTTCCGACTGAATCCTGCAACGTGTCGGTGCCCAGGCAGAGGGCAAAGCTGCTGGTGCCTGTGCAGGCAAAGGTGTTGGTTGTGTCGCAAATGTTGCACTCCTGGCAGTCCGCCTGGCTAGCCGCACTGGCCTCTGGCTCGCAGATCACTCCGTTGGACCCGCTAACACACACATAATCGGTGGGACAGCTGAATGGCAAGCCGGTGGGCAAATTATTCGCATCGCAGGCCTGTGTCTGGTTGAGGGAGTAGCAGGTCAGGTTGTTGACAGCATTGCAGACGTTGCACGTGGCCCTGGCCGAGGCGAGCAGACAGCAGCCGAGCAGGAAGTGGAGAATAAATGACATTTCTGGATGGTTATTGTACTCGAAATGGAATTTTTGTTGCTACTGATGTCTGTGGCTATTGCTGAGACGGTTTAAATAGGGCATTTTTGGCAGCTATTTTGGAAGTCTGAGATAGCTTTTAATCTCTCCTGGCCTCGCCGCGTTGAGGGACCTTGATTCAAGACACCCAATTTAGATAAGTCGTGCAGCATTTAGCGGCATCAAACCCGTTGCATACTTTGTGGCAGTTGCGAATTCCTCATGGCTGCCTTCGATGTGGTTCGCTCTGGTAATGCCGGTAATGCCAGTGCAATCTTCGAGCTCCCACTTAAAGCTCGTTGCAGTTCGTCGATTGCCTCAGTCGCTTTCGAAGATGCTGCGCCTTCTGTTCTGTCTGGGAGTGGGCATACTCGGCTGTCAGGCCGCCTGCAATGTCTGTTCTTCCTGGTCCAACACGGCCTGTGTATCGGAAACTTCCTTCAAATTTTGTAATGAAGCAGCATTGCTAATTGGCGACGCAACCCCCTGCCAAAATGGCTTTTATTGCACGGGAGAAGCTATAGTTTGTCAGAAAAGCCCGGCACTCACTGCCTGCATCACAGACAGCACAGAGAGCACCACGGGCACTACACAGTCCAACACGAGCAGTGCAGAGAGCACCACGAGCACTACAGTGACCTCCAGCAGCAGCACAGAGAGCTCCACGGGCACCACAGCTACCATCACCATTACAGCGAGTACCCCAACCCCAGAAACCACCACCATTACAGCGAGTACCCCAACCACCGTGGATCCAGCAATCATTGATATATGCAGGATCAAGGCCACCACGGGTCGCTATACCAATCCCAATGATTCTACCGGCCAGAGGTGATGTTTAAGTATTTTTTTTTTCTGAAATGTGAAGTAATATTTCTGCTTGAATTTCAGTTACGTAATGTGCTTCTATCGGGGTTCTACCTGGTCAGGAGCTGTTTGGGAATGTCCTTTAGCGAAACCCTATTTCAATAGCACTACTTCTGTGTGCTCTTCAACGAAACCTTCTAATTGTGTGTGATATGATATATCTTTTAAGAATTATGCACTAAAGTTTATTAAATTACATATGTATATACATTTTTCTTTTTCTCATACAGTCTCATATACAGCGTCGGTACAGGGCCTGTAAAAGATTTGGGCTGACAGAATCTAAAGACAGTTAAAACTGATTCTCATGACATCGTTGAGGCATTAGTTCTCTTGAGATTAGAAACACATGTGACGTACAGAAACACGTGATTTTTATTGGATATTTATAGTGTACAAAGATAATGCATTGTACGAGATAGAGCCACCTGCATATAGATCGTCTGAAATCCCTTTGAAATTATTGTGTTCAAGTTTTCCGGATGATAAGATAAGATTGAATGCATATAGCCGGGCAAGCCAGGCACGGGCCGAGTCAGTTGCATTTCAAGATGCTGCGCTTGCTGATCTTGCTGGCTACCGGAGTGGCTCTGGGGATCTTAATTCTGGGCTGCCAGGCCGAATGCAATGCCTGTTCGACCGCAAGCAATGTGTCCTGCGCATCCAACACAACGTTCCAGTTCTGTTCGGATGACAGCGTGCCCATACAACCGGCATACTCCTGCCCCCCAGGGTACTATTGTACCGCGACCACCGTGATTTGTAGCAAGAGTGTGGCCCTCAGAGCCTGCAATTGCGGATCGTGCAACGATTACTTTGCTTGCCTCACAGATCGGACCTATGCCTTGTGCCTGGGATCGAGTTCACCCTCCCAGCTCGGCGGCAGCTGCGGCTCGGACCATGTATGCGACTCGACCAGTCCGTATATCTGTGTCAATGCCACCTCCGGTTCCCAGCCCACTTGTCCCGCTGACAGCGATACGAGTCCAGGCGGTGTGGATCCCATTGGACTGACTCCCACTGCATATTGTGGCATCATCCAACAGACTGGAAAGTTTCCCTACGGCATCGATCCGGAAACCACCTGCAGGCAGTGAGTACTCGTATTTGTAACTGTATACCACGATATATTCTAATCTATGGTATTGCTTTCTAGGTACATCTCTTGTACTGTGAATGCCACCAGTCTGATCTGGAAAGGAGCTCTCAACGATTGTCCTGGCCTGACTTATTACGACAGCTCCACAAAGTACTGCACCACTAAATTGCCACCCAGATGCAGTGCTGGAGTCGCCACTTTAAGTCTCAGCAATCTGTATCTATTGTGATTTCGGTTTTAGCTTATAGTTAGATACTCTAAAATAATGTTCTCTGGATTTGTGTTTGCATCTTAGTTAGTTTTTTGAAAAACTGCAGTGAGGTCAAACACGAAAGTATTCACTATTTAAAACTCGACACTCACTGAAGGAATAAAATAGAATTTAAATGAACAAACAAACGTCGTCTTTAACCATCTGTTTAACTATTTTATCATAAATATACGATAACTAAGAATAAATGTTATCTTCTCTTTGAACGGTTCTATATTGATTTTGATAATTTATTTCTTGTATACAAATACTATTCAGCATAGAATTAATGTTAAACTGAACTAATTGAATGGCTAGTGTCGTCTTATAGGCTGCCTACATTTACATGTCACACTTTGACAGCTCTGAGTACCGACTCTTCAGTAGAGTAGAAAGTAGTAGTAGTAGAGTAGCGAATTTTTAGTAGATTTATTATATATCTAACGTATATCCCTTGTCAGCTGATTTCCTCGATTCTACTGTTGTTGGAAGTTTTCCAGATTCCTCTTTAATCTTTATGATGCACTATAATCCAAAGCAATATAGGGAGTGTGATTGCAACTTTAATGAGATAAAACTGAATGAATAAATTCTGTTGCAGGGCAAATGCGAGTCTCAGTTCCACTTGAAGATGCTCCGTCTGCTGATCTTGCTGGGAATCGGGGTGCTGGGCTGTTGGGCCGAGTGCAATGTCTGTTCGTCTGATGCCAATGTAGCCTGCGTATCGGCCACGGAGTATCAGATCTGCTCCGTCGCTCATGTGCCCTTGGGGCCCGTTACGAGCTGTCCTACCAACTACTTCTGTACCGCAAGCGGTACCTTTTGCAGCCCGGATGAGACCTACGGGGCCTGTTTGAACTGCAACCAATGCAGTGCGGACAAGCAATTTGCGTGCATCAGCACATCGCAATTTGCCTTGTGTCTGGGACAGGACACGCCGAGTACATCGATTATAGGCTCCTGCGGCACGAGTTTGGTTTGCAGCGTGGATAATCCTGATATCTGTGGCAGTTCGGCCACCTATCCGGCATCCTGTGCGAACAATTCAACTGACGGTAACGGCACAGGCACTTCCATAACAGATCCCACCCAGTACTGCCGCAGCCTGCAGCAGCCAGGACGCTTTCCCTATGGCTCTGATGCCACAACCACCTGCAGGCAGTAAGTATTGCCCCTCCCAATTCATCTCAACTCCAATCAGGCTCTAACGTATGAGATACATTTTCCAGATACATCTCCTGCTATACGTTTGCAAGTGTATGGTATGGAGCCATCTACTCCTGCGCGGGATCCACATACTTTGACAGTACCACAAAGATGTGCACCACTCTAACGCAGGCCAGATGCTCGGCGAGTGTCACTTCTTTGTCTCTCAACGGACGATTGTTGCCATAAAGAGGCCTAATCTTTATGAACTGAGTGCATCCAAAAACAAAATACACAAGGATTATTATCTGGCTATCCAGGCAGTCTGTTTAATCTGAGCCCTAAAGACATATAATGATTATAAAATGAGACTGACACTACTTGGGAAATAGGTCAAGTTCCGTGAGAGTACTCCACAGATTGAACAGAATCGCCAGTCCTGAATCCCATTCAATTAGGACATGGCCTAATGAACCCCTTGCAAGGCTAAATCGATTTTTCTGTGCAGTACAGATGCTTCACGTCCCATTCAAATGGCTGACCCGGCCCAGGCCCTGGCCACAATGTGGTCTCCGTGTTATGGCATTTATGATGTATACGCCTCGTTGGCACTTGCACCTTGAAACTTTTGGCTGGCCTCACACACAGTGGCGTAACAACGCAGGGGCCTTGCAGCTCTCACCAGCAAAGCTGAGACAAATTTGGCAAAGAATGCGCATACGCTGCACGTTTTCATCTCACTCTCGCCAACAGGTGACACATGCCATTCTCTCATTCTGATCCGTGCCCTAGCTGCTCTTTTTGTGCATATTTTCTCCAAGAGAGCGGACCTTTACGCGTGCGGTGAGTGAAGTAAGGTTGAGGGGGCTAAAGTGCTGGGTACCGAGGGGTGGGAGAGGGGAGAAAATGCCGATCATGGAAAGAGCGAGCTACTAAGCCTCCTACGCATACATAACTGCACCGCTCCAACACTGTCATATCCATTTCACACCCATTTCCGAGCGTGCGTGCTCCCGTTTCGGGCCGTGAAAAGCTAGTCAGAGGAGCACTCACCGGTCACGGGATTCCTGGCAATGCGTGTGTGTGTGAGCCAAAAATAAGTATGTAGTGTGAAAGACCCTATAAAGTAATCGCCAAAAGCGCCTACCGCCGGCTTGCTCTCCTTCCAGGGTGGCTCATTTGTATGGTGAGGCATTCCAAATCTTGGAGATCGCAGATTATAGGCCAAGGGGTAAGCTTTCGTGTACTGTTTGCATAGATCTTGTGCTCTAAATTTTAATATTTTCCCACCAGGAGGGGCCTTTGGTTAGCTAGCCACGCCTCTGCTTAGAGAGTGGAAACTTCCACACAGGGAACTTTCGCATACAATTATGAAGTGTGCTCGGTAGTTTTTTTTTTAGCTCAAAACTTTCAGAAAATTTCCCTCTACATGCCAGGGAAAATCTTTTGCAGACATTCCCCCGCTGACTCTCACCTTCTTTCTGTGTGTGTGTGTGTGTGGTTGATGTGGGTCAGTTACATGGGCCACATGGGGTCGCAAAAGTTCCTGGCCCCCACCAACCCGGAGCCTGAACCATACATAGTTTGCCCGGCATGCCACCGAAAAATTCAATTCAATTCCAAGGCTGGCCAGGCCAGCCCCCCCGCAAAACTTTTCATTCAGTGTTTTCAGTTTTCAATTTCAATGGTTTCGATTTCACACGCCCCTAAACCGAGCCCCAAACAGCCACCGCCCCCCCGCCCAAAGTCCCCAAAACAGAAGCCTCAAACACGCACATACTCCACTACGTGCACAATGTGCAATTGATTGTATAGCATGGACGGTGGCACGGAGGCATGCCACACGATGAGGTAGGTGACTTGCATAGTTTTGATGGACACGATGTGATGTGGTACATTTCTGTGGTCCTCCATGGGAATCTTCAATGATTGCTTTAAAGAAAAAAGAAAAAGCCGCAGAAATTGAGTAAAAAGTGAGGTAAATTTTATTTTAGGCCTAGCCGCCCGTATCTATCTACATATAGACAATCTTATATCTACCAGATGTGTCTATCTACATATATATCCAAGACAAAGAGATAATCTTCATGTAGGCGTTTCCCTAAACGTTTTCGTTTAGATTTATGTTGCTGTGTGAGGTATATATTTAAGAATAACTAAATTATAGAAACACTTAGGCGAAAATCCGAAAGATTATGAATATTTTGAAAAATAATATTTGCTTGAAGATTTTTGTATATTTTTTTTTTTTTGTACGGAAACTACAAAATTTGTGGCCTAAATGAAGCTCTTTGGATGCGTCCAGGCTGCACATTTCAGCCGCTCTGTAATCATGGTTTATATTCATGTTTTCCCATGCCCCATATGCCAGAGCCATCACTCATCTAAGAGAGTAGTTTGTAGGGCCTCTGCTGCTCATCAACGTCATCATCTGTATCATCATCATCCAGGCGGGCGTTGAGTATAATGGGGCTGCACTTAGGACAGATAATTATAATTAATTATCTTCTCCCCTAATAGAATCAGACCAGAGGCTGAGTCTGGAGTCTAGAGTCTGGAGTCTGGAGTACCGAGGAAGTCTTACTACTATACTAATTAAATTGCAGGGCCCCCAGATGTGACGCAAAACCCACTGCGATGAGTGCCATAATCTTAAAGTTGGGGCAAGTCTAAGTGCAGAGTGGCATTAGAATCCTTTCACCTGTCATTCGCATTATATTTGTCAAGCGGTCCGCGTTGCAGTGTAAGTTATTTTCCACCAGCCTTGTTGTGATTAGTTCTAGTCAGGAAGAGAGCCCTGTGCTCTAATGTCAGAGAAGTGTTTGCGGGTTGACAACAAGCCAGAGAATGCCCAACTGCAGGCCATTTGGAGCGTGTTGAGCCAGTCCAAAGGTCTGACATATCATAGCATCTGAATGTTGAACAGCTTAAAGCGGAGATGGTGGCCATGCTGCTGTTCTCTCTGAGCCCAGGCTCTTTGCCCCAATGAGGCCAACTGCAAATAGACTTTAAACAGCTGAGGAGGCACACAATCATACACTAAGAGAAATCACTGGGAAGATGCCCGGGCTGAGGAAATACAATATGGAAATCCACGAAGCAGTAAACGCCAATACAAACCCATTTCCAAATATAGAATTTAGTACATTGTTGAATACTAGGCCTTCCCTTCCTCTCTCTGTGTATTCGTATTTATGCATATTTCTGAGTGCGCTGGTATATGTGAGGAACTATTTTCTCCATTAGATTGTTGGCTTATTCCATTTGACCCCCACCCCCCCGTCTCTTGGTAGCCACCGCCACCCACTGCTGGTTGCCGCTGGCTCCCACCGCTTTTAATTAAAGTTCTATTTCCATTTGTTTTTGGTATGGGTTTGCGGCCAAAACTGCAGCCTGGCGCCTGCCGGGCCTACAGCCCATAACCCACTCCCACAGCCCCTGCACCACAGCGAGGGGCTGCCACCTGCGGTGCGGCTGCCAGCGACTGGAATTAATTTATTTCTCTGCTCAGGCACTTATCGGCAGCAGGTTGCCCAAACAATTCCCGATGACCAGAGAGTCGCGCATTATTTTGTTTATCCATTAATTTCGGGCTAATTGGCTCTACTGCCAAAAGCAGTTCAGTTTAGATCGCCATCGGTGCTGGTTCTGTTTATTTTTCCTTCAATATGGAGTTAATTTTATAAATATGTACACTCGTTCTATTGCGTTTTCAAGTTAAAACTCAAATCATTTAATGGCAAGTGTTTTATATCATTTGTTCTTACTTCAAATGGTTTTGACTCTGCAAATACACCTCTCGATGGGCCTTATGCAAAAATGATAATAAATACAGCTTATTTTGTATTCTAAAGTATCCATTAAGAATCGCAGTTTCATTTTCTCAATAATATGAATACTTCTTCTATAAACAAAAACATTTTTATTAGTAGCAAAATTGTTTAAACTATATTAAGAATTACTCGTCCGATATTTTACTTTGGGCCAAAAGCATATGGGTGTGTCTGACCGCCAAATAGTTTCTGCACTATAATTTTAGATAAATCGCAATCCATCGAGGCTTTGTCGTTGTTGCTTAAGCAGATGAGACGGGGGTTCCCTCACGAGCCAAATGAGTGCGCGGGAGGCTTGCCCACTAGTTAAATTATAGGTATGATTAATTTAAAAAATTAAAATTATATATTATTAACTACCTAATAGTTAAATTATTAGTATTCACGCTATTTTTTTTTTTTAGTGATATATATATTATTAAATTAAAATGTTTTCATAATGTTTTTTTAGTTTCAATAAAATATACAAAAAAATTAAAATCTGTTTTTCTAAAAAAAAATTTATAAAATTAAAATTCATGAACTAAACGATTTTCCACATTATTTTGTAGAATGAATTATTCAAAAAATATTATTGAAGCGTGATAATTTCAGATTTATTAATTAATAATAAATATTTATTCATATATTATGTAATCCTAATTTTTTAATATAAATCGAATATTTAATTTAAGTGAAAAAATTTTAGTAATAAATAATATTATAAGTGTGTATCCTAATCTTTTTTATTTCATTTTTTACTAGATTTATTCTATTTCAAGTTAAAACCCCCATCCCCAATCCATACTTTGGTTTGCACTTTGAAATATTCAAAAATCGGATCAAGTTCAAAGCAGCGTTGAAAAAAACAAAGACAAAAACCACAGCAAAAGCAGCAACAAACTTTGACATCGAGAACGTGATGTGCAATTATAAATATGCTGGGAGTTTACAAAATCCGCTCGATATGTAATCCAAGCTCCCCGCACAAACACATGAATAGAGAAAACAGCAACGAAGACAAGGAACAACATGCCGAGGGGGGCAGGCAGGCAGGCCACCCCCCACACCCACCCAGAGCCACCCACACACAGACACAGTGTTGTCGAAGTACTTGACAGTTCAAGTACATGAGATTGTCGAACAGTTTTGACACAGCCATGCGATGAGGTCAACGCGGTCCCACACACACAAACGAGTATAGCCATTATTATATAATGCCGCTTTGTTAGAGACACCCACAAGAATGCAGGGCCAGGAAGAGGCCAGTCCATGTGCAGGCCATGTGGGGAAGAAGGGGGAACTCGATGAAAAGCCAGAGCATACAGGGCGGGGGGGGAGCTGCAGAGCAGGCAGAGAGGATGCCTGCATAATGAAGCGCCGTGGTAAATGCGTCACATGCCGTGCGGTGTACACGGAATGTGCAGCAGGCAGCGGGCAGGAGGCAGCAAGGAAAAAGAACTGTCAACGCCGCCTGTCACCAGACTGAATGACATACAGATG